AATTTTCGAGCTAGAATGCTCTTCTTCGGACTCGATCTGTCTTTTTATGACACAGAACGATCCGGAAAATCCCAGGTCGCTAGCTCAATTCGTTCTCGAGTTATCGTGCGCACAGACAAACAGACACACACAAATACACACAGACAGACAGACGCGAAACTTTTTGATCGTCACTGGAGTAATAGGCTTCGCTAATCGCTCAGCCAATAACAGGTTAGGTCTACCAGGTGTACTGGGTATGATTGATGGCTCACTTGTGCCAATTTTCCCACCAAATAAACCAAACCGGCCATATTACTGCAGAAAAGGATTCACAGCTATCAATGCTCTACGTGTGAGGAAATTTCTGCATTCTATTCTTTTTTCCGCCTCTGTCCTCCATTTTACTTCCCCTACTTCTGATTGGTTCTTAAATGTCAGGTTTGTAATGCAGATCTGAAAATTCTTACAGTCAATGCTAGATATGTGGGGTCATCTCATGATTCCCATGTCTACAATGAATCTGGTCTTGATCCAGTTATGGAAGTAGCTCATAGAGAGGATCGCTGCTGGCTCCTAGGTACGGAAAATGTTTTGAAACTCAATGCTATCATTGCAACATTGTTTCTTACAATGTATTCTGTCATGCAGGTGACTCTGGGTATGCCCATTTACCATGGCTTATGACACCTATAGAAAATGCAGCACCAGAAACTCCAGAAGCAAGTTTCAATATGCTTCAAGCTAAATGCCGGAATCCTATTGAACGGTGCAAGATGGCGATGCCTTTTTCTCCCACCTCATTACCAACCAGCTAAGGCTGGTAGAATTATTAATGCGTGTGCAGTGCTCCACAACTTGTTGCTTGAGGAACGTGTTGCAATTCCAGTCAACTATGCTGTCTTCATGGATCCTCCAGAGGTGGACAATATTGTGGATCCAATTAAATTACAGATGCGACCTGCTCGTCTACGTCAAGTAGCTGATGCTAATAGAGCGTATCTGGTTCAGCATGCCCATTGGCATGTCAATCGTGATCAGTGGCTATATTTTGTAATTTTGAATGAATGGCCTTTGTGATTATTTCTTTGGTTGTGATGTAGTTCTTTCCCCTTGCCTTCTGAATTGTAAAAGCTAAAGGTCATTTTTTGTAATTTCAAATCGTCTGTTATTAGATATGTATCTACTCAGCCTCTTTTCCAGTTCCTTTTCGCACTCCTGAGTGTAAATTAGAATTTTTCAAATGAGTT